GGCTATGTTGATAATAGATGATTTTATTCTTTACAGTCAGATATATTAACTTCAAATATGCTTATACTTCTACCTCAATATTTCTCTCTCTACTGTACTTCTACATTGGTTATTTGGCCTAGTACAACCTTCATTATAGGCTTTGTTGTGTTCTGATTTATACTAATGGTTTATTTAAAATTTTGGAGGTAAGAGAGAATGGTTAGTTCAAATCAATTATACAACCTGCTGATATATTCTTAAATTTATTGCCTCCTTCGATGACGTTGTTCCTCTGTTGGTTCGTAAGTCATGACAGGAGCTCGCCGCGAAGGTAACAACATCTCTCCCATTTAGTGCGATTGTTTGTCTGAGTTTTGCTCAGTTACTGACCCAAGAGAGTGAGGATAGAAATCCCTGAGTTATTCGAAACCCTAGAAAGTATGATTGCTTTAGAGCTGAACAAAGGGGTGGATTTGGGATATGTCTATAAAAATCTTCTGTAGTTGTTCTTTTGGGCAGAAAAGATGTCATTTTAGAGGCTGTTTGGCTGTAAATGTATATGAACATACAGCGATTGAGCAGATTGTACGCTATATTTCTGCTTTGGCTTCGCGTGCTTGGATTGAAGTAGAGTTTTGAAAGAGTCGCTAAAGAAAGCTTCTTCGCTTCCTTCTCTCCTATTTAGTGAGCTTATTCGACTAATTCCTGTTCAGTAAATGAACCTGAGAGCCAATGAGGATGGAAATATGAGTTATTGGAAATCCTAGAAGGTATGATTGCTACAGACCTGACGAAAGTGGCGGATTTTAGATATTTGCATAAAAATCTCTGTAATTGTTCTTTTGGGGAGAGATGATGGCATTTTAAATGCTGTTTTGTTGCAAATGTATATAAACCTATGGCAACTGAGCAGCTTGGATGGCATGCTGGTGTTATTCGCTGCTTGCAACCGCTGTTGACATGCCCTTGAATTTTATGGTTTCAATTTTGGGGGATTTATGTACACATCACTCATAATTATCTCATTTACATATTTAACATCTATACTTGATCTGAATCTATCTACTAGCTGTGGTTTTATATGTTGCTCGTAAGGGCATCGCGAACCGAAAAACTCATTTTTCCACTCCAAAATTATTTGTCTTGAGCTGATGCTTTGGTGATGATTTCATTAAAGTTATGGGAGCACCTGGCCACCAGGTGATCATTCTTCCACATGCTTATTATGGATGGATTATTAGGGCTGTTCAGCAACAAGCAGGATTTAGGAAATCCAGTGAATTGGATAAATGATGAGGGTTCTTAATCTTTGAATTTGTTTGGCAACAGAGATGTTATATACTGGTAAATTCTGTGAAACTGTTTGGCAACATACATGATTTAGGATTGAAAGGGAGCATTTGAGAGTATAGATTTGGATTTCTTCAATTATTATCATGGTTATTGCGCTATGTATTTGCTTGCATCTAACCATGCAATCTGGTTTGTGTTCTCTCCGCATAACTCCATTAGTAATTTGCTGGGAGATGTTTCTTTGAGTTTGTTACACAAACTATATTATCCTTTTTTTCTTCAGGGAAGTGTGATGTATTATTGATCAGGTTAATGTGACCTGGATGCATCTTTTTCCTCTCTGATATATGTCAAGAGCGAATGCCAGTTTAAAAACTCATCCAGTGGGATTTAACTTTAGTGAGATTTATTAAATCCTATAAATCCAGATTTAATAAATTCTGAGGATGTTAAATCCTGAAAACTGTTTGGTACGACAAATCTTAAATCCTGTTAAATCCTGAAAACTGTTTGAAAACAAATTTTAAGATTTATGGCAGTTAGAAATTTAATTGTGAAGAGCATAATTATAAATTAAAAATAAAATTATAATTAAAAATAATGTGTTATGAATTTAATAACATGGTAAGTACAAGGTATTTATTAATTATTATTTACACTATTAATTATATATTTAATAATATATATTAAGTTATATTATTTAAAATAATTATATTAATATTTAATTACGTAATATATTAGAAATTATTCAACACACAACAACACATCAAGGCTTTATCCCACTACGTGGGGTGGCTAATGAATCCTTTTTCTCCATTGTGTTCCTATTAAAATATATTAGGCAATTATTCAATTTAGTAAATTAGATGATTAATTTATGCATTATTTCACATTTATTTTTTTTAATATTTTAAATTATATTACTTAAGTTAATCAATAATAACTCAAAGGCATCTAGGTTTGCCTTTCATCTACTCTTTTCGTCATTGTTGTTCGGTTTCGTTGCTTCGCAGGAGATGTAGAGATTGCACGCGTCGCATCTTCGGCTCCTTCGTGGCTGTTGGACTTTCACTCCTTCGACGACTTTCCCTTTCTGTCGGATCGGAAGTTACGACATTTTGATAGGAAGCAACAACGGGAGCTCGCTGGCTGCGAAGGTTCTTCCTTTTGCCAAATCCCAAAAATCTACTAAACCGAGGGATTTAGTATCGTCGGGATTTAACACGCGCACGAAAACTGTTTTGCTGGATTTAGCGTAAATCCGACTTAAATTCCCAAACAGCCCCTTGGGCTAGGGTTTGCTTTTCCTCTTCATCATTTTCTTCATTGATGCTTCTGCTATGTTTCGTGTGCTTCGCTTGAAGTAGAGTTTTGAAAGAGTCGCTAAAGGAAGCTTCTTTGCCTCCTTCGACGACCTAGTTCTTGTTGGATTAGAAGTCACGAGAGGAGCTCGCCACGAAGGTAACGATATCTCTCTCGTTTAGTGCGGTTGTTTGACAGAGTTTTGCTCAGTTAACGACCCAAGAAAATTTGAGGATGAAATCCCTGAGTTATTGGAAACCCTAGAAGGTATGATTGCTTTAGAGCTGAAGAAAGGGGCAGATTTGGGATATGTGTATAAAAATCTTCTGTAGTTGTTGTTTTGGGGAGAAATGATGTCATTTTAGAGTGTTTGGTTTCAAATGTATATAAACATATAGCGATTGAGCAGATTGTACACAGTATTTCTGCTTTGGCTTCGTGTGCTTGGATTGAAGTTGTGTTTTGAAAGAGTCATTGAAGGAAGCTTCTGCGCTTCCTTGGACGACGTTGTTCTCGGATGCGTTGTCCCGACAGGAGCTGGCCACGAAGGTAACGATCTCTCTCCTATTTAGCGAGCTTATTCTACTAATTCCTGTTTAGTAAATGAACCCAAGAGGCAATGAGGATGGAAATCTGAGTTTTTGGAAACCCTAGAAGGTATGATTGCTACCATCCTGACCAAAGGGGCGAATTTTAGATATTTGCATAAAAATCTATGTAGTTGTTCCTTTGGAGAGAGATGATGGCATTTTAACTGCTAGTTTGTTGCAAATGTATATAAACCTATTGCAATTGAGCAGCTTGGATGGCATGCTGGTGATATTCGCTGCATGCAACCGCTGTTGACATGCGCTTGTATTTTACAATTTCAATTTTGAGAGATTTACGTACACATCACTCAAAATTATCTCATTTACATATTTAATATCTTTGCTTGATCTGAATCTATCTACTAGCTGTGGTTTATATGGTTGCTCGGAAGGGCATCTCCAACCAAAAAACTCATTTTTCCACTCCAAAATTCTGGCTTGAGCTGATGCTTTGGTGATGATTTCATTAAAGTTATGGGACCACTAGGCCACCAGGTGATTATTCTTCCACATGCTTATTATGGATGGATTATTAGGTCTGTTTAGCAACAAGTTGGATTTAGGAAATTCAATGAATCTGGATTTACTAAATGCTGAGGGTGCTAAATCTTGCAATTTGTTTGGCAACAAAGATGTTATATACTGGTAAATTCTGTGAAACTGTTTGGCAATATAATTTAGGATTGAAAGAGGTAACTTATTAATTTCAAATTTAGTTACTGTTAATAAGTTACAGTTATAAATAATATAATTAGTAGTTTGTTTAATTATCAAATAATTTAATTAATAATTACAATACTAATTATTTAATTACTTATTTATGTTTTATTTTTGTAAGTATTTGATTACTATGTGTTCTGATAATTATTTAAATAATTATTTAGTTATTTTTTGATTTAATTAATTATTTAAGTGTTATTTTAATAATTTCTTAATTGCTAGTTATACTATTAATTATCTAAATAATCATTTAAGTATTCTATTACTAAAGCTTCTTCGCCTTCTTTGACAACTTTACTTTCCTATTGGATTGGAAGTCGTGATAGTTTGACAACCGATGCAATGACTGGAGCTCTTTCAATGCGAAGGTAAACATCTTTTTGACCTTCGCGGGCTTTTTGTGCCAAATCCAGTAAATTCATTGAACTATATGATTTACTAAATTCGGTATTTATATCAAAAAAGGTGGAAAAAAGTTTATTTAACTTGATGAGATTTAAGCGGAATTTTTTTTTGGGTGTTTGGCATGATTTAACATTTATCCTGCTCAAATCATGCATAAATCCTGTATCCAAACAACACCATTTTCGAAATTTTTTTTTTAAGATTTAAGGTTTAAATGAAGGAGAGAAAGTGCATTTTAAGGAGAAGTGAACATTTTTTGAATCCTACTCCCCCAAGGATTTTACTAAATTTGGGTTTTAGCTTTAAACTACACAACAACAACAACATCAAAGCCTTTATCCCACTGCGTGGGGTTGGCTATATGAATCCTTTTTCTCCATTGTATTTGGTTAAGAGTCAAAATCTCATTTAGATCTAATACAGAAAGGTCATTTCTAATATTTTTTAACCAAGTGTTTTTTGGTCTACCTGTACCTTACTAACATAGGTTAAATTTAATATATCTACTCTCCTAACCAAGTCATCTGAAGGCCGCCGTTTTATGTGACCAAAACATCTAAGACGACTCTCTCTTATCTTATCTGCCATTGGAGCTACTCCATCCTTTTCACGTATATGCTCATTTCATGACCTGTCTCTAAGAGTAAAGCCACTCATTCACATGAGCATCCTAGTCTCTGCAACACTTAACTTAATATTGTGCTTCTCTTTTAATGGCCAACATTCTATGCCATAAAGCATTGCAGGTCTAACTGCCATCTTATAGAATTTTCCCGGAAGTTTGAGTGTTATTTTTCTATCACACAACAAGCCCGATGCATTCCTTCACTTCATCCCATAAGTTTGAGTGGGTTTTAGCTTAAAACGTGAGAAAAATATGATTTAAGACAGCCATAAGATTTATGTGGCTTAAAAAATTATGTGGCTGCTATATACATGCCACCTAAATCTTGACTATTTACCAAACTAATTTTTTTCTTTCCTCTAAAAAGTCTAAAATGCTAAAGGGTGAGGATAGCATCTTTTTAGATGGATATGTCTAGTTTTTTATTCTCAATTTACTTTTGTTGGAAAAATGGATTAAGATATTTTTGTGAGCTCTTTCTTGCAGCTGGTTTGTTTATCAGTTTTTTGTAAGGTTGGATTACGATCTTGTACAGGTACTATAATTGTACTGTGCAATCACCACAACATCCTTGCATTGCGATTGATTTATTGCACCTATGGTTTAATTGTGTGGGCTTTTTAATCATGATTTTCCTTAGTTTGTTGATCGAAACATTTCCTTTTATTTTGGACTCAAAAGGTTATGATTGCTAAAAACGTGAAGAAGGGATTAACTTTAGGATTTTTGTAAAAAAGCTCTCTTGTTTGTTCTTTCAGTGAGAAATGATGGCATTTTAGAGGCTGCTTGGTTGCAAATGGGTCAGGCCCATGGCGGTTTAACAGCTTGTATAGCATTCTGTCTGAGTTTCTCTTGCAAATGTCCATAGTGGACCTATCCAGCACGGGCTTGGAGCTGATCCTTGATGTAATCCAGCTGAAATAGGAAAAATATTTGGTCAAACATCCTTGTGCTTGAACACAGGTAACAGCTCTTACATGCATATCCTTAATAACTTAAATATAAGCATTATTAACTCCTTTTTTAGAACTCTCCAAAGCACTTCTCTTGAAACTTTATCATATGCTTTCTCTAAATCAGTAAATATCATATGGAGATTCTCCTTATTCTCTCTATATTTTTTCCATCAAACCTCTCAAGAAATGTATAGCTTCCATAGTGGACCTATCCAGCATGTATCCAAATTGAGTTTGAGAAACATTTGTATCACGTCATAATTTATGCTCAATTACTCTCTCCCATTGTTTTAATATATGACACATTAACTTAATTCCCCTATGAGATTTAAAATAGTCTGTGGGCTTTTTGGTTGCAACTGAGATTTGTTTGTTGGTTATTGAGTTGAGAACTTACTGCAAGCTGCGATGCATTGTTGTTTGTTATTTTTTTTTCAGAGTTGCTTTGCATCTGGATTTGTGAAGCAGACGATGCTTTGGAATGGTTATGTGCACCCTCTATTTTTCACTATGTTAGCTGGGAAACACCTTTTTAATGATGCATCAAAGGGAATTTTTGTCTATTTGTGATCTTTATTCTTTTTGTAAAATTTGACTATAGATTCTTCCTAATACCCCTAGACGAATATTTCCCAGATATTTTTATTTTGGCTAAAATCCTTCAAAATGACTTTTGGGCCAAAGTGCCCCAAAGCAGGGATAATCTCTTATTTAATCCCTTGTTTTTCCTTCATTTCCTTCCAATTAATCCAATCATCTAAACACTTATCAATGTCACTACGTAGGAAAGCAGAAAAAAAATCGGAAAATATGAAAATCATAGTTGGAAACTTCATGGATGATGGGAAAGCTTGGAAGATTATAGTTTGTACTTTCAATGAGAAAGGACGACATTTTTGGAGTTTGTTTGGTTTCAAGTGGGAGTAGGTTTAATGCCATTGAGCAACATGGATGGCCTGTGTATGGAATCCTCTGCGGGAAACTGTTGTTGCTATACATTTACAATTTTAGGTGGTATGCCTAGTAAAATAAATGTTTAGAAAGGTGCAGGTGCACCTCCAGAGCTGCAAGCGAACCAAGCGTTCGACGTGCTACTCGATTCTCGGTTCGATTAAAGCTCGTTTGTGATCGTTTAACTAACTAAACAAACAAACTTGAACAACATTTTAAATACTCGATCCTTAAATAAACAAGCTTGAACACTTATATGTTCGGTTCATTTATGTTCATGAACAACATCATTTGAAGCTTCAACAATGTGTTCCTGGAAGTTGGTTTCAACATATTACAATAATGCCCAAAGAAAGCTATTGCGTACATTCTAATTCTTAAATTAATATGATGATCTAAATAGGGCAAGTCTGAGCCTAATTTTGATGTGAAACTACTAGGAGTTACGATTAGAAATTAGAAAGAAAGTTGGTTAAAGTATTGCTCATTTAAATTCAATGCTAGCACATAAAAGAGATCTAATTATTGTTTGAAATAACAAAATATTTAACTAATACCGACTATAAATGATTTAATTAATTATTTAAGTGTTATTTTAATAATTTCTTAATTGCTAGTTATACTATTAATTATCTAAATAATCTTTTAAGTATTCTATTACTTAAGCTTCTTCGCCTTCTTTGACAACTTTACTTTCCCATCGGATTGGAAGTCGTGATAGTTTGACAACGTTCTTCCTATTGGATCGGAAGCAATGACTGGAGGTCTTTCAATGCGAAGGTAAACATCTTTTTGACCTTCGCGGGCTTTTTGTGCCAAATCCAGTAAATTCATTGAACTGTATGATTTACTAAATTCGGTATTTATATCAAAAAAGGTGGAAAAAGTTTTGTAAATTTTTGGGCGAAAGATGAGAATTTCAGACTATAGATGTGCTGTTGTAAGTTTGTATCTGCAATTTTATTTTGTTTAATGAGAAAATTGTCGGGATTTAGTCTACAAAATGAATATTATTGTACGGTGCAATCAGCTACAGTCAAGGTTTTGTTCACTTAAGTTTCACTATATCATACTTTCTATACCTGTGGCTTTGATTTGAAGTTAGGATCTGAAGGAGGCAATGGAATCGGCTCTTTTTCCATTTACCTGTGTGCGATATCCTATGAGCTTTTACTTGCTGATGTGGTCTGCTTCCTCTGTTTATTACTGAAGGGAGCATTTGAGAGGATAGATTTGGATTTCTCCAATTATTATCATGGTTATTGCGCTATGTATTTGCTTACATCTAACCATGCAATCTGGTTTGTGTTCTCTCCGCATAACTCTATTAGTAATTTGCTGGGAGATGTTTCTTTTAGTTTGTTACACAGACTATATTATCCTTTTTTCTTCAGGGAAATGTGATGTATTAATCAGGTTAATGTGACCTGGACGCATCTTTTCCTCTCTGATATATGTCAAGAGCGAATGCCAGGAGTATCATTGAAAAGCGTAGGCGATGATTGGCTGCCAGATTTAATTGAGATTTAATCTAGATTAAGGTTAAATTGTGCCAAACAAAATATTGAAATGCAATATTACGTTTGTGTTAAATCCTGTTTCTTCCTCCAATTCTAAGTTTTAACATGCAAAATCCTGTGATGCTGTTTGGCTATAAGAGATTTAATTTAGATAAATAGTGTAAATTAAAATTTAACAAATCTTTGTGACGACAAGTTTTGGAAATTGTGTGGCATGAAAGAAGTTAAATATGGTTTAGTTCTTGTAAATTGTCTCGATTTTTTTTTTTAGATTTAAGGTTTAAATGAAGGAGAGAAAGTGCACGTCAAGGAGAAGTGAACATTTTTTAAATCCTACTCCCCCAAGGATTTTACTAAATTTGGGTTTTAGCTTTAAACTACACAACAACAACAACATCAAAGCCTTTATCCCACTACGTGGGGTTGGCTATATGAATCCTTTTTCTCCATTGTATTTGGTTAAGAGTCAAAATCTCATTTAGATCTAATAAAGAAAGGTCATTTCTAATATTTTCTAACCAAGTTTTTTTTGGTCTACCTGTACCTTACTAACATAGGTTAAATTTAATATATCTACTCTCCTAACCGAGTCATCTGAAGGCCGCCATTTTATGTGACCAAACCATCTAAGGTGACTCTTTCTAATTTTATCTGTCATTGGAGCTTCTCTGATCTTTTCTCGTATATGCTCATTTCATGACCTATCTCTAAGATTAAAGCCACTCATCCACCTGAGCATTCTCATCTCTGCAACACCTAACTTAATATTACGCTTCTCTTTTAATGGCCAACATTCTGTGCCATAAAGCATTGCAGGTCTAACCACCATCTTATATAATTTTCCCGTAAGTTTGAGTGGTACTTTTTTATCACACAACAAGCCCGATGCATTCCTTCACTTCATCCCATAAGTTTGAGTGGGTTTTAGCTTAAAACGTGAGAAAATATGATTTAAGACAGCCATAAGATTTATGTGGCTTAAAAAATTATGTGGCTGCTATATACATACCACCTAAATCTTAACTATTTACCAAACTGATTTTTTGTCTTTCTACTAAAAAGTCTAAAATGCTGAAGGGCGAGGATAGCATATTTTTAGATGGATATGTCTAGTTTTTTATTCTCAATTGACTTTGTTGGAAAAATGGATTAAGATATCTTTGTGAGCTCTTTCTTGCAGCTGGTTTGTTTATTAGCATAATAAAGCAGGTGCAATATGACAGTTTGATGTAGAACTACATGCTAAATTGAAAACTTGCACAAGATAGTTTAAGAACAATTTCAGATTTTAGTTATTCGTGATTAAAACAAGGTAAAACTCATAAATGGTCAACTCCGTTAGGCTAAGCCACACAAGAGACTAAGTTAAATCAAAACACATAGGAAAATTAAAACATTGCTTGTGGAGTAGTTTCCAACTTAACCAAGACATAACAATGAGATCTAATAGCAAAGAAGTAACAAATCTACGATTACTAATGGATGGCGATTAGTAGACACAATCTCTTGCTTGAACAAATCTCAATAAAGTAAGTAGAATTTGAAAGTAAGTGAATCAAGAAAGAAGATCACCTTCCCAGAGAGACATTGTGAAATACCACGTACCGTTCGTTGGTCGTCTTCACCAAGCACTACGGGGAGAAGAAATCTCTAGGGATCCGTCAAGGATTGAAATCACCCCGACGACGGAAAGTGGAGAAGATCCACGGAAAGTGGGAAAAATGCTGAAATAAATACATCAATAAGAAAATGACAATACTAAAATCAAAAGTACATCGGATAGATCGTGGCCGTAGATCTACGGCCACGTCGACGGTAGACTTTCCAACTGATGTCCCCATCACTCTCCCGGGGTGGGAGAAAACTCGACTCCGTCGAGTAAGAGTCTCTCTCGTAAAGCTCCAAAGCATCTGGGTCTGCCCGCTGCAGCTCCTCGCGGTCTATCCACGTGTCCTCCGATTCAGGTTTTCCTCTCCACCTGATCAAGTACCTTCTTCTTCCACCTTCCTTTGTAGAGATAATGTCATCACTCAAAACTGTGTCCACTTTATCAGCCATGGGTAATTTAGGAATGGTGGGAAGGGGGGGGGGGCAAATTTGGGTTTTTCAATGGTGGGGTTATATCAGGCTGTTGCAAAAATGGGTTGGGTGGATTGAAATCAGTGCTTTCGTAAGCAACTATATCCTCAATGTTAAAAGTCGGGTTGATGTTGAAATCTTCAGGGAGGTCTACCACATATGCATTGTCATTGATTTTCCTTAATATTTTAAAAGGCCCAGCACTCTTGGCATGTAGCTTCTTAACGGTTCTTTGTGGGAACCGTTCCGGACGGATCTGTACCATCACGGAGTCATCCACTTTAAAAGTTTTAAATCGTCGTTTTAAATCAACATATAACTTGTAATCTTTGTTGCTCTTTTAAATATTTTATGCAATTTTTTTATGCAGTTCATGCAGTGGGATGCAAATGCAGATGCTGACTCAGAAATCCTATGCCTAGAACTCATAGGAATCAAATCTAATGTTTGTCTAGGC